AAACGGTACCTGCTGACTGGAAAGAAATCAAGGTTGTACCTGTACAGAAATCATCTTCTGGAGCAGGTATAAAGTTTGGACCTGTCGCTAGAACATCTTTTTTGAAAACTATGGAGAAACTTCTTTTGAACATTCTTAAACCTTCTTTAAAAGCTTTTACTGACCCTAAGCAGTTTGCTTACAAGTGTGGAAGAAGTACATTAGATGCAGCCGTTGTACTACACCACAATATTGTTTCCTGCCTTGATAAGGGTGCTAAGTTCGTTCGAACAGCTTTTTTAGACTATACTGCAGCTTTCGACTGTGTTCCTAGGACACTTTTATTAGGAAAGATGATTTCAGCACAGACAGAGACCTGGGCAACTAGATGGCTGTCTTCTTATTTTAAGGATAGGAAACAGCATACTGTTTTGGCTGGAAAGCGCTCCACTTCTCAGCTAACTGAAAGTGGTGTGCCTCAAGGTGCAGTACTTTCTCCATTTCTTTTCTCTTTCTTTTTGCATGACCTTCCAAACTCACCCAAAGTTAACTTCATTAAGTATGCTGATGATCTGACCGTTTCTGTCCCTGTAGTTTCCACATCGGATTGTTCCCATATGAATGGCTTCTTAGCTGAAGTTAAGGATCGGTCTGGCTCAAATGGTCTTAAACTAAATCCAACTAAATGTAATACTGTTGATTTCAGCTTGAGAAGTGAAAAAGACATGCATGATTGATCCAATCTCATGATTGTTGTAATATTGATGGTACATGATAGAGAGTAAGTCAGTGTTTCTTATCTTGGCATTAGTTTCTCTTCAAACCTTTGCTGGTCGTCTCAATTCTTATAGTTTCTAAAAAGATTTTCTGTCTGACTTATTACATAAAGAAGTTGAGGCACTCAGGTATAACCCAATCTCTTCTCATACAATTATTAATTCATGTGTTTTGCCCATCATTCTTTATTGTTCCCATTATTCTTCCCTGGGCTACTCAAGAAAGACCATATAATATTACGAAGAACATTGAAGGCTGTAAGTAGGGTGAGTGCTATCCCTTTGACTCAACTAACCGACACTGTTGTCAATAGGCACATGAATTCTTGTAAACACTTAGCTAAAGTTATTTTGTCTGATAGTGAACATCCTCTTTATTCACATTTGTTTCCTTGTATCTCTTCGGGTAAGACCAGAAGAAATTTCATAAACACTTATGCTCGTACTACAAAATATAAAAATTCGACCGTACCATATTTGGCACGAGTATTGTGTGAAGAGACGAATATCAGAAAAGAACTCTTACAACTTTTAAATCATTAACTAAACTATAAAATGTAATGATGCATATTATTGCATGTGTGATTTGTTATATTATTTATTTATTATTCACTGTGACCTAGAAATGGTGTGATTTTGTTGGGGTATTTATTTTTTCCTATTAATTATCAATATTTTTAACATTTCATACATTTATATAATTATAAAAACAGCTAAACCAATGCAATATGTAAAATAAAACGCTGAAAATTCCATGCTGTAAGTTGTTATTGTTGTGGAATAAAGTGATTATTATTATTAAAAAAAGATAAGGTAAGTGGCTGGACTTATCCGGCATGTTGGTTGGAATTTCGCTCGGCAAATTTTTTTGTCAATAATTTTTAATAAAATTTTGTTATATGTTTTCTGGATTGATAGGAATTCTCATTTCCTGGCTAGTTATGTTGGTGTTCGCGTCATTTAATCTGACTGCGACACACTTAGCATATTGGTTGTAATGATTAGTGTTTCATGCTGAATGCGTCAAAACATTTCTACAATGAAGAAGATGGGGTAGTTGGGGGGTAATGTCATCTACACAAATAGTTTATTTCTTGTAGAAGCTGCAGCTTTTGACATAGTGTCTTTCAATGAAGACTACGTCAAAATGTGTAAAGAACAGTACTATTTTACAAAAGAATGCTATCAGTACATGGGAATCACCTATAAATGCCAACAGAACGTAAAACCAATGTGTAAACGAACGGCTACGGAACTGCAATCCAACATAACTGACTAACATGGAGGAAAATGACCTTTGAGCGTTTCACTCCATCAATGACCTTGAGCATGCGGGATAATTTCAGCCAAGGTAAGTGTATAAAATAAAATTACTAATAATCTCTATATAAGGAAATCTGCCTATCAGATAATAATGCTGACTAATGTTAGGACTACGTTTCTGATATACTTTCTCATACATACACTAGAGAAGATCCGAATTTCTTTTTTCCAGTTTTGCTTATTTCGTCGCGAATTTGTACGGTAGAGTTCACAGATTTTCGCGACGCTAATTTTTCATTCGTGATTCTTCCGGAAGTTAACTGTGTCGTCATAAGTTAGAGCTTCGGGAACAACCGGTAACCAAATAAATTATGATCTATGTATGGAAGATGTAACTAGGCTAAAATACCATACCAGAAGAATCATATGGATGATGTTAAGAGTAAAACATATTTCTTTGTACTTTAAGTAAAAAAGCCACAAGGAACCTCAACTGAGTGGAAAGCAGAGCTTATTGGCTTGTTTATAGGACTGCAAGTTAATTCGACTGAAATCTTCCCTGCAGTTAAGTTGGTGGTTGCGACTACTACCCGCATCACCAGTTATTTATAAAGAAAGGAGAAAATTTAATTTTTTCAGTTTGTCGAATATCTTTGAAATGTGGCACTTTCTTTTGTGATCATCCTAGGAGCATCTGTGGGACCACTGTGGAATTTACATGGAATCATCCTACTATGCATTTTCAGAATTGTCTTAGCAGGATAGTATTTTCGTTTACAGTAGTACTGCAGATGTGGCGTTTAGTTTTCAGCTAAAGGCTAGACTGAATGCAAAAGCTACTCCTACAGTTCAGAGACCCTACCCACCTAAGGCTCTGAAGCCATTAATCTCACATTACTTCCTCATATGAGTAAGTATTTGAGACGAAATTATCTGATTTTACTGATTTTTCGGCCCCAAGTAAACCCAGCAGTGGTTCCTTGGAAGTTACAGAGATTCACGTTTGGTTATTTAGAGACCATGCCATTAAACCTGAAGCAGTGCGCTTAAGCTCTCTTTATGTTCTGTCCAAGACTTTAAAGGATTCAGGGAAACTGTCAAGGGAGGGGAAAGGAGCCAAACTTTCTCTTGTTTTCAAGGGTGGGGACGGATAAAATGCCGTCAGTTATAGACCAGTTGCGCTACTCTCGGTGGTATCTGTAGTACTGGAAGGTCTGATCGATAATCACATCAGGGAACACCTTGACAGGGTTAGTAGACTACATGAAGCACAACATGGTTTAAGGAAATGCAGATCCTGCATAGCAAACCTTCAACATCATGCTGGTATGTGAGTCCAGTCCATGTGATCTGACTAGACTTTGAGAAGGCATTTGACACAGTTCACCATATCCTTCTACTCAAAATTAGTCAGGCAGGCATAGGTTTGCCGCTTCTGTTATGGTTGGAAAACCATCTGCTATAAAAATTCTACACTAAGGTCAATCGAGTCCAACGATCTTGGTACAGCTCGTCATCAGTAGTGTCACAGGGTTCTATCCTAGGGCCACTGATATTTTTGATTTTTATCAGTGATTTGACATGCCTTCCAGCTGTCCGACTCTTCTTTACGCTGATGATGTAAATATTTTATTGGGGAGGAGCACTGAAGTGCACGGCAGACTTAAATAGATTGCAGGCAGAAGTAAAGCTTTTGGAAGACTGGCCGATTACCAGTGGTGGAAATTTCAACCTGAAGAAAGTGCAGTGTAGAGCAATCACGCAACCATAGGCTACAGATTACAGGTTACAGCCTGTGCAACGAAATCCTATCTTACAAGACCTCGGGGCGTGACTTGGGTCTAGTTATAACTGAAAAAATGGACACAAGCGTGAATTACACAAGGAATGTGACGAGGGCTCATGCAGTCAGACACTTAACACATCGACAGTTAAGTGCACTCACTCCTGAGCTCCTTCTAAGCTTGTACAATACAAAAAACAGGCCACACCTTGAGGTGTAAAATATCATTGCACCTCCATTGTCTAGGAGAAACGTGAAGCTTCTGGAAAGGGTCCAAAGATGAATGACAAAAGGAGTGATGGGTGTCCTAAACAAACCATATGATGAACGGCTAAAATAATTAAGTCTCTTCACACTAAGCTGCCGACGCTTGGGGGGGATGACTTTATTACTGATGGCCAGAATCACCCAAATCTAAGCATTCTGTTACCAAGTACATTGGTTTCCGTATGGGAATCCATGAAGGATAGCTCACCGGAGCGCACGGATTCGAGTGCGCTTCCGTATCTATTTCCTTCGAGTTTGCCGTCCTCAGAACTCTCTACCAGCAGATGTGGCTACTGAATCGTTCGTGGGAAGCCCTAAGAGAAGGTTGGATAGTCACGCAGATAAACAATTATTGCGTCTAAACGTAAAAAACACACGCTAATAAACGGTAGACACCTAAACACATCGTTTATTTCTTTGCATTTTTCTTTGTCTTACTCTCCTGACTACTCCAAATACTGGGTCCCCTTCACTATTATTACTGCTGATATATATATATATATATACGTACACAAATACATGTACTACATATTAATCAATTTAATATCTCATCAGCTTCAAATTTTTACACTTTGTTTCTTTGCTTGTATTTCTTATATCTGCTATTACTATTGTTATCTCTTCTCTTTACCACCGCGGAAGACAAACAGGAGAAAAGACTGACTCCACTGACAGTAGAAACATGGTCTTAACACACTGCATACTACAAACTACTAATAATTAATCTTAGCACCACAATTTTGAATCCACCATAGCAATGGCAGTCCATTTGCGTAAGTTTACCGAATACCAGGATCATTTACCTCACTACATAGAGTAAAGAACAAGGAAATCAAATTGGTTTACATTAGCTCTTAAAAACGATATTGGATATTGAAACAGGATTGTTTTGTTGCATGCTCAAGTGCCAAAGCGGGCCAAATCTCGAGGCCATGGGATCAGATAAACCGAGGAGGGTAAGTTACTGTGTTTACATATTAGTTTTATGCCGTAATTATCCAACTATTCTTACTTTTCAGTCCCTCTTTCATCGAATTGCTGACTCAATCACTGGTTTTGTTCCTTCATCAATTTTACCTAATGCCAATGTGAGTAGCAACTTCCAAAGTTATTATGTTCTAGGTTACATCCTGGAAAAACTGTGAGTTCAGTGACACAAAAACCGGTCTAAAGAGAACAAATGAATCTGTTGAGATTGGTGGTGAGTTGGAACCTAGCAGTAAATTATCGAGGAGTCGAGACCACCCGGCATTCACCAGTGTTGACCTTGACGCTACCGATCATTCGGAGAGCGACTTCAGCTTGCGTTCTTTTTCAACCAGTGGAGTCTCCTCTTTGATGCCAAGATCCTGGCTTCCAGGCCCTAAGCCAGAGCAAAAGCAGGGCACTACAGTGTTCACACCACGACTGTACTCAAATCACAGCTGTGCTACGACCAATGGTTGCCATACGTTGAAGAATGATGCATGTGAAGAACCACTGTTGTTGAACACATCTTGGGATTACTCTGGGTCTACATTTCCTACGCCAAAACGCCAGAAATTGTCTGCTACATCGAGTCTTAGCCCAGCATGTACATACCGCCCTCGTATGGGAACTACTTACGGAGGTGCTGCGAGTTGCCGAAGTGTTCGAGAGTTATTTCAGGTAAGTATTTTTATTATCAAAATATATTACCGGTGACATCAACTTATGTACATTTTTTCTAAGTCGTAGTTTTTGGCTCTACTGATGTCCGTAGGTACTGCTTGTGTGAGTCTGTTGTCGTATTCATTGTTATCAGTCTTAACTAACCGTGTATTTCCATATGCTCGAATTCTCACTTGTAACCAGAAACTCTATTGCATTTCAGTTTACTACACCGCTGAAATTCGAACTTTGCAAGGAACAAAATTCACAGGAAAGTAATCCAAATGCCAACATAAGTTCAACTGCTAGACGGATCCTGGAGACATTGGAGCACTTCTCAGCTCCACTCACTTCTGGAATATCTCAGTCTAATAGACCACGTCACATTAAGAGGGTGAGTTCTGTTTGTGAAAATTGTCTTCCATGCATCTTAGTTACGTCATTCACTTGGTAATATAGACCGGTTGCTTGGTTAGTACCTACGGTGATGTGCTACAGTATAGTCATTTAAGTAGGATTGTTATACTTGGAGGTCGGTCTGGAGTACCAATAAACCTCATTCACAAGTCGATTATTTCAGACTATTCTCTTCGGGATGTAATTTAATGCTCTACGGAATTTAGTACGGGATATTATTTTATTTAAAACCGTAGCGTCAATCAACCATACGTCATTTATCTTTCAGTGTACATTGTATCACGTCTTTTCTGGCAGTGCCACAATGATTATACGTGCTGTTTGAACTAAGTTAATAGTGAAACCTCGAACTCACTGACTCCGCTTTTGTCCTACTTGACGTTTAACGTGATATCAGTATTCCTTGAGGGATACTACGTACATTTCCCACGTATGAGTTGTTCTCTTATAACTTTTCTAAAATGAAATGTTGGCAATCCTATGTTTTCCATTTGTTGTAAACGGGTTCAAATTCAAAAGTATTATTTTATTACAGTTCTCATTTATTATGAGAGGTAACCACCGTAATTTTCATATGAATACCGTTACGGCGTCCCTTGCCAGACGTCTTACCTTTGTTCCTTGAGAGTAGAACATTACACTGTTGGACCCTCTCCACTGAGTTATACTTTGCCTACCCCTTTCTCAGCAAAAAGTAGTTATTACATTAAATGAACTACCCTTTTATCTTGATACGTCACCTTTGTTGACTTCAGCACTTGTTTAGGTCAACGAACTACTGTCTTGACCTCGAACCACTGGTTATTTTGCATGTTTTTCCTGGTTACTTCTAGAATTATAAAAAGCTGGAAGTTTGATCGCTTTACAGCAACAGGTTTGGCCGTCATAATTCAGTAGTCTCCTTCATTGTGTAACCTGGCGTCCTCCATCACCATATCAACGCTGGACTCAAATAGACCACATAGCGATAGGGTATCGTTCGCATGGGTCAGTAGAAAACTACCGCTACGTGCGTAGACTCTGGTCATGCCCTGGTTCGCGCACGTTTCGCCTACGACTAAACGCACATAAGACATCGTTGGCAGGAAAGCAGTTACGTCCCCAACTAGATCGAGGCACTGAGTCCATATTTAAGGAAGAAATTGCGAAACGAATATCTGAGGTCGACAGCAGGACTCCTCCTGAGGCACTATATACAGTTAGCTGTAGACACAGCTGTAAAAGCTGTTAATAACGTGAAACCTAAAGTTTATAAGAGCCATTGGATTTCTACCACCTCTTCCGAAATAATTAACCCAAGAAGACTGATTCCGGCGGGCTTCGATTATGAGGAGGAGCGAAAGCTACTCAAATGCAAACTAACAAGAAGCCTTCGTAACGACCGTGAACAGTGGTGGGCTACAAGAGCAAAGGAGATGGAAAAGGCGTCGGCGATTGGTAACACCAGACAACTATTTAGACTTATCAGGGAACAGGTGGCAAAACGCGAATGATAAGTGAAACAATCTCTGAGAAAAACAGCATAATTAGCTCCACACAATATTGTGTGGCGCATCTTTCTTGTTGCCATATTGTACCAAGTTTTTCTGCGTTTAAATAATAATAATAGCTCCCAGGATAGACAACTGGAACGCTGAGAAGAACACTTTGAGGAGCAGTTTAGTCAGTCTACAGCCACACTCAACTTATTGGACATCCAACACCTCCCTGCATGGAACATATACACAGGTCCTTCGTCCTAAACTGAGGTTACAAATGCTGTCACTAATCTGAAACGGGGCAAAGCAGCAGGACCTAGTAGAATGACTTCAGGACAATGTAAGTACAGTGGAGACAGTTTACAGTATGCGTTAACTTAGGTAGAAGGCAGCGTCTGTGAATCAGAGGAAGTCCCGTCAGATTGGTGTGAGTCATTGATTATCATTAATTGTCTTCGGGAGGAACAAACACGAGGGAACCAAGCAGGCTTTAGACCAGGAAGAGGGTGTATAGATCATATCTTCACCCTTTGACAGATTCTGGAACGTAAGCATTTTTACCGGCGTCCAACAATCGTTATATATCGTGATCTGAAGGTGGTATTCGATTCTGTCGACCGAGAGGTACTATGGCGATGCTTGGCTGTAAATGGAATGCATAGAAAATACATTGCACTGACCAAAGCACCCTACTCGAACTCATGTAGACAGGCGAGAGCTTACGGCGAGTTGTCATCTGAAGTGGTGACTAGTGGCGTCCGTCAAGGATGCCCATTATCCCCATTTCTATTCAATCTCATCATAGATGTAGTAATGGACTTAACCCTAACTAACTTCAGAGACTCAGCGATTGACTTATCACTAAGGAATAATCTCGTTGACTTGGGATATGCAGATGATATAGTCCTTCTCGGTGAAGACACTGACAAAATGCTGAGTCTTCCCTACACCTTGAGCTAAAATCAGCGAATGTTTCGCATGCGATTCGCTCCCGCCGAATGTAAGGTGATGTTACAGGACTGAACTACACTGACTCCTAGATTAGAAATAGGATGCGAAGTGGTAGAGCTTGTTGACCGCTTCACTTATTTGGGAAGTTGCATCAGCCCCAACGGGGTTGATCACTGACGAAATCTCAGCACAGATACAGAGGGCTAGTTTCGCATATACCAGTTTACGCCGTCTCTGGCGTAGACGTGATATCCGGCTGTCGACCAAAGGGCGTGTGTACTGCTCAGCGGTCCGCTCCGTCCGCTTTTATGGCTGTGAGACCTGGCCATTGTAAGTGGAAGACATGAAAAGGCTGGTTGTCTTTGTTCATAGGTGCCTGCGTTCTACCTCCCGTGTGTAGTGGTATAATAGGGTGAGCAATATTGAGGTGAGGCATCGGTCGAGTGCTAGGTAAGGAAGAAAAATCAATCGACGAGATTGTGAAGTTACATCGTTTGAGATGGTTAGGACAAGTGTTGCGCAAACCTAGCCATCGATTGCCTTTCTCGACGTGCAGTGTTAGCTGACATAGAGTCAGGTTGGAAAAGAGCTAGTTGTAGTCAATCCAAAACATTGCACTAGTCAATGAAATTCAAAACAGTTAGTTTAAGCCACGTAGGAATGTGTAGACTTCCTGGTTGGGGTCCTCGGGACGGTAAAAACCAATGAAGGCTGGAGACAATTGGTGATATGGATTAAAATCCTTCTCAGTGACTGGCGCAGTTGCATCCACTCCTTGTGACTTATAATTTCCAATGAAACTACATTGTTCTTTATTATTACTATTCCTTTTGTCTCATATCTCTGTCTACTGCCTCTACTATGCATTTCTTCTACTCTCTTCTCTTGCTTTATGTGCTACATGGAGTGTGGCGGCTTAAACTGCTGCGCATCAGTGCAAAGTTCTGTGTTGAGACCAGTTGGTCAGTAATCTTGACTCTGTGGCCAAGCAACACAAGTGCTCTTGCTTCACAGCAATGTCGTTACATCTGACATAGGATTTCCTCACAGTTACATATGCCAGTCAATTTCCCTATGTCATGGTAAAATCTGGCCGTCTAACATAGGTCACATGCCTCGCAAGTGAGCAGACAAATGTTAGTGGTAATCTGATCCTGACTACTCTGTCACTTGCTAACACGACTGTAAAATGTCTGTTGTTGCGTCTTGCTACTTTATATTCTGATTGTGATGGAAAGTTGTTACTCGATATAGCCTTGTGCATAGAGTGAAGGTGAGTTGCGCCAAAAATATGCGTTACTTTGACCGTTTATTAGTGAAACAAGTAGCATATCTTTTATTTATAAGCACTTCTGTTTTGTTTATACGTTCCATAGTATATTACCAGTCAATAAAAATCATCACAGCCTAAATTTCAGTAATCAAGTCTGTAAACATTATTCGATATCGTATACCAAAAACCGTGTGAATTTTGCTAATTTTAAAGGTGAAGGTTCCTACCAGATGTCATCGTTTCCCACCGTTTTCTGGAGACTATCAAAAGATGAAAATGTTATCAAACGAATATGAAAGGCGACATTTGCAAGAAAGCGAGCATTCAAATATGACACACTCCGAGACAGAAACACAACCTCCGAAATGTTATGGAGCGTCTGCGTTCAATGAAAAACAAGTTGATAAGTGCGATACGAGTAAGTCCACAGATGGTTTAGCCACTTCGACCGCTGGATTATGTCGCAAACTCACTGAAAAACTGTCACCCAGTTTCACGTTTTCAGACCCTATCCATAAAATCTGTGGAAGTGATTCTGAACTTGTTTCATCTTACAGTACAGACCAGAGGTATGTCTTCAGCTGTCCAAGTCGTTCATGTACGAAATGTTCATCTCAATCACTCGATTTTCTCCAGCGATCAAGTGTTCTACAATCAGTCAGTCAAGTTGATTCACCTGACAAGTCCAAAAGTAAGTCCCATCCCAAAGTTTACTACTGAGATGTTCTTGTGAAATACTGTTGTAAGGGCAACCTGTTTGACGATAACATGGGAGTTTGGAGAATTTTCGTGTTATCTCTTCTCTGATTTGAAGCAGTTATAACAGAAGCAAACAGAATAATCACTAAAAGAGCAAACAAGGCAAATGGGTTCAGTAAATTAGAAGCAATCGTAAGGTTTGTTTAAAATGAACTATTTATCGTGGAAAGTAGAACTCGGTATAAACTTTTCATTTGCTTCTCAGGAAAGTGAGCAGTTGTTTTTGGAAAGCTGTTAAAAACAGGACGATGATTTGGGTCATGACGTAATTTGTGTTACTGATTATGTAACTAACGGCGTGTAGTGTAAGTTCTGTGTTCATCAAATGACTTCAGTTTTCCACGTCGTGACAACCATTTACTGATGTGGAATACCTGGAAAGGACCTGCTCTAATTGCAGTACCACCACAGAGTTATTTTTTTTGTAATCAGACTCAAAGCCATCTGACTTCACTGTGACTCAAACTGTCGTAACTTTATTCGCTCAGTGTGAATGAGTGGCGAGGACGACTCAGATTTCATTTCAGCTTCCACCTAGTTACACATCTTCCAGTTAAAAGATGTTCTCTGGAGCCCGGTGAAACTTCTCCGCCCTTTAGCAAAAATCAGGAAGGAGAGAAATTAGAGTAGGTGACTGACAGCCTTTGGTTAAGGATCTTTCTCTGTGATGTACTACATTCTAACATCTTGCAGAACTTATAGGGCTCACATCGTGCATTTCCATTCGCATCTGTCTCATCCATCGTATATTTGTCGACACAAAGGTTTGTTCTACATGACATCACAACTGCTATGAAGGAAACTGTCCTTAGAAATTATATTAGCCTCATGAAGACCAACAGCTCGTTCGAATCATCGGCCTGCTTTTATTTTAGTGGACCTCAAATTTGTCTGTATAAAATTATTTCATCAAACTGATTTTTTTTCTACATTCAGACATGTCAGCGTGGCGTTGTGAAACCTGTCTGTTGGAAAACATAGACAGTTCTGTCACTTGTAAAGGCTGTTCCATTCCAAAGCCTAATTTATTGCAGTGTACAAAAGTGACCTGTCCACCTTCCATTTCACTACCTTCTTCTACCGTGGCTCCATTAATTGACGTTGTACCTGTCACCACCAACTCAGCTGTTAATTGGGAGTGTCCTACATGCTTAGTATTCAATGAGCCGAAGGAGACTAAATGCGTCTGTTGTCAAACTTCAAAGCCTGCAACAAAGATGAAAGGTTCCTGGGAATGTCCAACATGTATGGTACAAAATGATAATGAACTTGACAAATGCCCGTGTTGCTCTACTGATAAGCCTGGATCGAGACCTGACAAGAAGACTCTGACAGGAACTATTAGTTTTCCCACATTGACAAGTGTTCCTCCTGGTAACTTCAAGTTTGGTTTCAACTTACCTACGGCGACTAATTTTAAGGAATCAAATGCGGTTACATCGAGTGGTGCTACTGTTATACCGGTTCATTCTGTTGCTTCTAGTAAGAATGTAGGTTTTTCTTTTGGTGTCAATGAGAACGTGTCCAGTCAAAGTGAACAAATAGTATCACCTAGTTGTACTTCATCACAATCACAAGATGACAATACTATGCAAATTAAACCGTCGATGCAGTTGGGAATTGCTAAAAACGAGGAGACTAAAGGCGCTGCAGAGAACTTCTTCTCGGGTGCTGTGTCTGGTCCCAAAACATCGAGTTTTCTCCAGAAATCTGACATTATTCCAGAGATGTCATGCTCCAAGGGATTTGTTTTCGGCAGTGAACTTCCGAGTGGTACCGGAAAGACGAATCTATTCACATTTGGTTCATGTTCAGCATCAGGAATTAATGGATTCACACCTACTCCACCATCAACTAACTTTTCGGATAGCATCAACGGAGGTGTTTTCCAATTTGGAACTTCCAATACGATAAGTGGCAATCTACCTAGTTCGAATTTGTCTTCAACTCCTATATTTTCTAATCACTTGTAAGTCGTGTTTTAAAGCCCGTATCATATAATAAAGTGGCGATCTGTTTGTATATATGTATATGTGTGTATTTATATATTCTAAAAATTTTACTTATTTATAAGATCAACTTCTGATCTCTGATTTATGTTCCTGGAATTTATTGCCTAGCAATTAGGTGTTGATCGTTTGCAATTCAGAAATAGTTATGTTTATATATTTAGTCGATCGAGATTTTCAATTGTAGCGAAAGTAATAATGCTGGCATAGATAATTGGCGAAAAAGTAAGTAATAATTCGCTGAAGATGGCTCTCAACATAAAACATGATGTTGACGCTCTCTCTCTCTCTTCAATGATTGAAAAGTGATTATTCAGTAGTCGTTAAACGAGTATTTCCTATATTAGGATTCATGTTTTTAGCTAATTATCCTGTTACTGTCCCCTATTTTTTATCACTTAATTTGGGATTGTAAACAAATAACTAATGTCGATTGAAATATCTTGCTTATAATTGTCGATTCTGCTTTATTGAGAAATTGTACTTTGTATTTATTTCCGGCTTCTGTTATAGTGCCGATGAAAATGTTGAAGTGCGCAAGAAAGTACACGCAGTTCGGCGTTTACGGCGATGAGGAAAATGTCCAGTGGTCTCTCGAGCGAAGTTGACTCCTTACGCTATATATGATATGTCATGAAGGTTCTCTGTAAATATTTATTTCACATTTGCTGTTAGCTTTTGTATTGTTTTTCGCTGTATTATCAGTTACTTCATTACAAGATTTTTTTTACTGATTTAAAGCCATGGGAATTTGAATAGTGCCGTTTTTAAAAGTGGTGTTTAACCCCTACTGTTTAATCGTTAACTTTATTTTCTTAATATACTCTGCAAATATACATGGTTGATAAACGTTAATATTGCTATGAATTCCATTGCTGTGCTTACTCATTCAGTGTTTGTCGTTGGGTTTTGTCGGGATAGAATCAACTAAATTTAGTAGGTCATAATTGCCAATCAAAGTAAATCTTCAAGCATGAAGTTTTTCCGCAACCTAATGTAACATTTTGGGTTTTTTTTTACTTATCGCTGTTCGAAGTGCACTTACTGGTTCGCAATGCTTCATGAACCTGTTTGTATGAAACTTGGAATTTTTAAATAGTGTTGAAATTTTTTGTGTACATGAGGTTTCTTACATCCTTCCGAACTGTGTTGACAGTCTATATACTGTCCTTCTTCATGTAAAGTTTACAGTTCGACTTATTCTGTTTACTTGAGTTTCTGTTGGGTGTAAAACACAAATAATAAGTGTAGCAATTTTTGAGCAGAACAGAGATTCAAATACTTCGAAGTAGGGGTTAGGAGAGATGGGAGAGATTGTAAAGCATTCATCTGACCCAGTCACCCTAAATTTGCCCAATACCCAACAGCTACGTGTGTTGGATGTAGGCGTCTATCTTGAGACGGTACCTAAAGTTGAAGAAGCTGTCTGTAGTCTGAAAAAAAAGAAAGTCGCGGCACCTAAATGGATTACTTCATAGGTACTGAAAGGGTTTATTGATCTGCAGTCTGGAATAAAATACTGCGCAACGTATATTAGTTCGAGGTAGTCCCGTTGGAGTCGTGTAAATTATTGGATATACCACGTTACAAAAGAGAGACTGGTTTTCGTTTGGTTTTCATGGGATGGTTATTGTACTAGCGTGTTATTTAAAATTCTGGACTCAATAATCATGCATGAACTGCGTTCCGCAGAAACAAACCTGAGAAAACCAGGTAGGCTTCAGGCTACATGGGCATACTCACTAAAAGATTGGCAGTCAAAACAGGGATGGACGTGGAAGTGGAATTTGACTCCCGACGGAGAGTGGATGTTGACTTGGTCTACTCTAATGGCTCAAGCACTACTTCATTACTAGAGAAGAGTCTCGTCGATTTATTTCACAGAAGATATAGTCTGAGATGAAGACATTGACACTCTCTGTGAGGTGATGTTCACTTGTACACGGCTTATTCAAAATCTCGTTAACTTTGTTTCCTGAAAGATGATCATTGTACCGAACAGATTATCTCGAAAATACTCACTATTCTATTTTCGTACTAAGTGTTTGATTGAGTACTACCAATTGAATTTTAGATGTTCACAAGAAGTTGTATTGCAAAATTTTAAAAAGGAGATTCGAGAGATGTGTTCCAGGAGAGGAATGTCAATATTGACACAGTATATGCACAAATTAGAAAAAATATGTCGCGAGTTGTCACCTTAGGGAACTTAGTACTTCCAAACATCTTTCAACCCTCACATTCACGTGGAATTTTTGCGGGGTGAATGTTGATGTCTCGATGCACCGCCACAGCTTTGAGTTCTACGTCTGTCAAATCACCTTTGCCATTCGGTGAAATAGAAGAGATCTATAAGTCAGCGGTTTAGTGAGTGTAAGTAAAGCCGAGTAACTTGATAGACAGACAGTTCGAGGTGAAGTTGAAAGTACATTTCACTTTGATACTTACTGGATGAGTGTCGTTTTATTACATGAATTAACTGTTCTTCTGCTTTTGGTTATGCACGCTTTTACACTAAGTGGGTCACTGACTGAAATGAGTGGTGAGGCTTCAATCTGCACGTGAAACAATAGACGTTAGTGTCAATTTCTGTCGTGACACTAATAATTTGCGTCTACGGCCTCGACGGAGGGATGGAAGAATCAGTCAGTGGAATTGAACACTGGGGTTTCTCATGCGTGTGTGTTACAGGACGCTGAGGCTTCCGTGATGGGAAATTCACATTGTAGCAAGCTTAGTGTTTGAAATGAAGTTGTCATTTTTCTATAGTGGTGTTCTAAGGGTTAGTTTTGTTTTAAACGGGTTGATATCAGTCTTCAGTGTTTCCCTAAGGCGAAAAAGCATGGTATTTATATTCCGATCAGGGCGTTCAAAAGACTTCATTTTTATATCTTCATTCTGTTATCCCAACCAACCTGGTTAGAAATGTTTTAGCTGTAGGGTTAGTGTTTGGTGTTGGTAGTTATCAATGTATGTCATGGGCCTCCAAAGCCTCAGGATGATTGGGGGTGGGTGCCTTGCGCTGCGGGTTGGCCACACCTCTTGAAATGCTCCCATATGACCGGGCGTATTACATAACCTCTCCTGAGGAAGTCCTACTCACTGCCTTCACGTGGCGGAGGTGTTTTTCACCAAAGTGAAAGTGCGAAAGCGGATGTCCGGCGCTCTTCACCAGGTTGACTGTCCATTGGATGACAGTCTAGGGGAGATGGCTAAACCCTGATTCCAAACCTCCAACGACTGGCGTATGAAGCTCACCGGCAGACGTATGGACAAACGGCTTGTTGGATGTCAGGCCCCATTCAAAAAGGCGTATGAACCGAACTCCAGTCACCGGCTGCCAATGGATAGTGGACTCCCTACTCCACTCCTACAGCCTTGTAGGTCACACTTGGTTGTGTAAAGGCTAGAGTTGCACTCTCAAACAAAAGGCCGAGCAATTCTGGGGACATCACCAAATTCCCATGAAACTTCATGAACTCTCTTTTCGAGATGTTCATGAAGCCGGCTCATCCTCCCGTAGGAGATAGCCGAAGTAAAGTAAGTAAGTAGTCATGTTGAGAATACAAGAATCATATTATTTAAGACATAAGCTTTAGCTTTGACATCTTTCATGTTTGTAGAATGCTACTGTTTTGCACGTAAACTTTGCAACTGCATATATTCGTGTACTGCTCAGCAGTTTGCGCCGTCCTTCTCTATGGCTCTGAAACACGGCCAATACAAGTTGAAGACATGAAAAGGTTGTCTGTTTTTGATCATAGATGTTTACGATGTCTTTCTCACTTTAGGCGGCATAATAAGGTAAGTAATGTTGACGTTAGGCGTAGAGTGTTGGGCAAAGAGGGAAAATCAATCGACGGGGCTATAAAGTTACATAGATTGAGATGGCTAGGTCACGTGCTGCGCATACCTAACCATCGCGTCCCCCAACGGGCATTACTAGCTGATATAGGTGCAGGTTGGAAAAGCGTAAGCGGTGGCCAAACAAAAGCATGGCATTAATCCATGAAATCCCTGACAGTTAAACTGAGTCAGGTAGGGAGATGCAGACTTCCTGGTTGGGGCCCTCGGGACTCTAAGAATCAATGGCTGGAGACAATAGGTGACATGGCTCAAAATCGTTGTCAATGGCGCAGATGTATTCAGTCTCTTTAATCTTTCATATTCCTTTCTACCATTACTTGTTCTGTTTCACTCTTATACTTGTCAAAACTTTATTGATTCTCTTCACTCATCCTCTTGTCTACCTTTGTATGCTGTTTGGAACGTGGCAACTCGAACTGCTGCACTTCGGTGCCAAGTTCTATGTTGAATCCAGACAGGCAGATATTCCTGCATTGATCATATTTGGAGTGTTCCTTGTACGAGATAGTGGTTTTAGCTGACGTCTGCTCCTCTTCTTACTTCTGTGTCCAGTAGGCTGCGCCTCCACTTCCTTGAGCAGTATTGAGATGAAATCAATTTGGTTTTTGGTTCGCCCGTCTGGTGACACCAATGTAGCCTTGTGGATGTCCCTGTGCTTGTATACGCTGCCACCAACCACCAGTTCATTGACGGCAAAGAAGTCAGAGAAGAGTTCTCTGTTTTCATTCATCTCTCCAAGTACTTCTCGACTCATGACGAGTACTCTTCCTATGTTGTCTGGTCCCAATTCGGCGTTCATGTCTCCCATTAGGATTTTAATATCACCAACTGGAGTATTGTCCGTTATACCTGTAAAACTCTTCTTTCTTTGTGGGGTCTGCGTTGTTTGTGGTTGCATAGCATTCTTTAATTGTCACTTTCCTTCCTTTGAGTTGAATGTGGCGGTCATTATTCTGGGCGAGATCACCTCCCATTGCATCAGGGCCTTTGTTGACATCATGATAGCCACACCATCGGTGTGCATGTGTTTGTCTTCTGGGTGTCTGGAGTAGATCATCGAGTGAGTCCAGTCCCATTCCATCTGCTTTCGCATATTTCCAGTACTCGACTACCGTATCATTGCCTTTAAATGTAAAATAATTACATTCTAGATAGAATTTTAAGCTCTTAATTATTTAAGTGATGTCCAGTACTAAAATGCTGAATTAAATACTGCTAATTCTGAAATAACTCTAACATTCCATCGTGAGTAAATTCTGAATCTTTTCTGAAATGGTTTCTTTAATGGCACAGACTAGAACTCAGTGCTGGTTTTCAGCATCACTGGCACTAATTCAGCACCCTGTTCTTTTTCTAGGCATTTTTAAGAGTAGATCAGAACCTACTGGGTTAGTTTATCAGCGTTGTTTCATCCCTCACAGGACATATTAAGCACAGACTAGCATTAATTCAGATGCTAATCTTATTTTTAAGATTCTTTCGCATTAAAAGTCTATCTGAACGAAAAATATTCCTCTTTTATAATTTCTCTTCAGGTTCTTACAATTATAAAATATAATATTTATTGTCGTTACAATAATGGCCAGTTATGTGGCGGATACATTTTTTAACATAGAATAAAAAATTAGTCATGGGGTGTCAAAATAAATAGTCGTATTTGTGTGACAAACGTGCTAGGCTGAAATCGATTACAAAATATCGTAAAAT